AAGGAACTCTGGCAACGAACCAACGAGGAACTTATCACTGAAGAAATATGCAATGGAAGGAAGTGGAGATTGATTGGGCATACACTGAGAAGGCCGACTGAGGACATCACGTGCCTGGCGAGGTTGTCGAGTGGGACCCAGATGGGAAGCGACGAGTTGGGCTTGGAGGCGAGGGTGACATGAAGGAGATCGTGAGAGGAAGAAATGAGGGTTTGTGGGCAGTCGTGGCGACAGGTTCAAAAGATAGCAGAGAATAGAGTGGAGTGGAGTGGAGTGGAGACGTGCTACTGAAGCTTCATGTTTCATTAGGAACCCAAGGGATAAATAATAATTTCTAAACAACCAATGGTTTCCACAACTTGCTTGTAATAGGTACGGTTTTCTGCAATATAAATCTTGTGCGTGATTCATCGCAGTTGTTAGTGCTGTTATTGTGCATTCTGTCGACAAACAGATCCATCATGGTTGTTGGTTTTGTTTTATTCCCCAGTGCCCTGTATTTAATCTACGCTAAGCGGTACATGATTCAGTTGAAAGAAAACAATTCACCAGAGTAAGATTGAAAAAACTTAAAAGTCTTGCTAAATAATTATGCAAAACTGTCTAGGTTTACAAACCAATCTCCAAAAGGAATTAATAAAGTAAGCTGAAAAGCTTTAGATAATTATCATTGCAAAGTTATCTCTCTGCCTATTATCGCACACAAAGAATTGAACTTATTTTTCACCACTGACATTCAGTAAAGTCATGTATTCACAGTTTTTTTCTAAACAGTAATATAAATTAACCAGTTAATAAAATTATAACACTATCAGAACCTGGTGTATACATAAATGAGAGATTTTTGTTATAGTTCATAAGGTCAGTTTGATAATGTTAGAAAATAATAACGCACATTTATTATGTTTACATATTATAATGTTATTTAGCTAAAGTGAAATAAATGAAATGCAAATAATTTATCAAACGTAAACAGTTAATGTATTCATAAAGCTTTCCGAGCAAAACATCCGTGTATTCATACACTCAGAAGCGTGGTGAAGTGATCATAATCCATCTTCTAATCTTGTTGTAGGTTTTGGTTTAAAACCTGAGAGTCAAACTAATAGGAAGTACTGTCATCTGGGAGAAAGCATAACGGCAATCTTGAAGGAATATATATTCCCCCAAATATTAGCGTAGTATACTATTTGGTCACTAGATGGTAGCTGATCAAACTAAGTGTCTAGTCCCAATTACAAATCTAGGTGTGTTAATCAAATTTATCGTTTGCCGGTGGGGAAACTTTGTAAAAAAAAACTCAGGTACTCGTCAAATTATAAAAGGTGAACAGTCATTAAGGATAGTTCGCTGTTTGAAGAGAAAAACACACAGAACTTCTGCATATTATCAATAACACTGGATCGTGTCATTGGAGGTAGTCTGAAGTCAGGTATCATTTCTTAGCAATTTGCTTTCGCAAGAAAGTGGAAGTTTACTTGCATTCAAGTGCATATTGTGCTTATAAACTCTAGCAAAGTAAATTCTTTGCCTTGGAGTAGAACAGTACCATATAATTTGGCTCAGTGGTCTTTTTGAACTCCTCAGTCAATACACGTTGTCAGGATAGAGGACCGAAGTATAAACTTGAAACTTTTTAACTATTCCGCTTTCTTAACTAATCCAGGTTTGCATATAATTAGGGGATATTCGAGTGCTTCATCGATAACAGATTCAAATATAGAATCGAAAAACGTCTGCATAAATCACTTAGGGGTGATCTGACTATTCGGCATCACGGGAACATTTTTCTGATCACTATTAACAAGGACAAAGCCGAAGTATCAGACTTCTGAATAGTCTGTACCAACAATCTTTAAGTATTTCAGTTTTTTTAGCAAGTTTTATTTATTCCATTCACTTACAATACACTTTTTATCAGTGTTACCTTTAAGTAAAGAAATAGACATAAAGATATACAAATCGTTAGTTTATTGGGATTTATCTAACACTTAGTGTGTTAGACTGGATGTTACTTTTAACTGGTCAACTATTGACCAATAAGAACGAAAACAATGTTAAAATTTAACTTGACTGCAGTCGTTTGTCTGTTTTCATTCATTTGCAGGTCGATAAGTCAATCATGCACCCTCAATCTTTTGGTTTTATCTACCAAAGTTTCCGATGAAGTAGGTGCATTATTCGAAGTGGTTAGATGGTTTTAGTGCTTGGCAGTGGTCAGTCATACCTGTGTCATAATTGGTTCTAAAAGGAAACAATGACCACGATGAAAAGTGGTTATTTCACGTACCATTAGAATAAGGTTGGCAGAACAATGTGTCAGTGTAGAAAAGTAGAAGAAAGTAAAGCATAGGCACACCTTTACACTGATCAGTTTTCACCTCCGGCAAATAAGATCATCAGCAAACAATTTTTAGCACTACGAAAGCATAGATCAAGAAATACCAACGAATTACAGTATCCAGGGGATTCATGATTAATTTAGTATATTTTTAATCCCTGAGGTCACTCTTTCTAGCATTCTTTAGCCTCGTTTGTAATAATACGAACCTTCGGAAACTAAGCCCTACGCAACAATCATGTTTTTGGAGTGACTTTTGAGGCCACCCTAGCAACAACTGAAATAACAAATTAGACTTCTCTATTTTATGGAAATTTGTCTTTCCAACCAAAATGAACAGAACTAACTGGTTGTTTCCATCGTTGTTAGAGTGGCTTTTGAAGTCACCCTGTTTTCGAGGTTCAGATGAAGTGGTTTGTAGCACTTCATCTGAAAAAGGTCTTGACATCAAGGAGTGAATTCGGAAAAAATGAACGTGTTTTTGTTGACAGAAGTAACTACTATTTCGGCCTCATTTTGCGTCTGTATCATCTATTGGAAAGTAACCAGTGTCATGTAGCCTAATTTTCTAGAAAAAACACTTCCACCGAGGCTACAGATATGGTTTTCCAAATAAATCTAGCAAGCTTAAAATCTGCATGAATTAGTTACCATAAAGTAACTGATTTATCTATCCACTCGTAAGTGCTTACCAATGAATGAAATCTATCGATCAACTTTGCAATGTAGCCGCTGAGCTAGGTGAAGTGACACTGTGATACACTTTACTTTAATGTTAGATGTTAGGCATCAAGTGGCGGGAAGTCATGGACCTACTTTCGTGATTCTTCTTACTCATCAAAAATGTTCATCTGCAAATCATGAGGTAGTGCTGTCCCATAGATGATTCTAATATGTATCACTTAGTGCTGAAGGCAGAGACTTTACCATTAAGCTACCCATTGCTAAAACTGTGGTTCAGAGCTACCTGTAAATTGCCTCCAGTCACCTAGTAGGTCCATTTTACATTAATTGTTCACTGGAGAGTAACCTACTTCATGTTCTCTTGTTCTGTCTCCTGACGGAATCCTACTGATCATTTTGGAATATGGCCACCAAGCTAGTAGGCCCAGCATCGCGATGCACTATGATAGATTTTAGTTGGATACAGAAAATCAGCAGAAAGCCCTAGACCTGGTTTTCGTGCTTTTCGGCAATCGTCAGCAACGTGTATCTTCTACCCCTACGGAACTGATGTCCCACCTGAGATTCAGACCCACATCATCTAGTGCCACAGTTGGAGGCCTTACCACTGAGCTGTCCCAGCTGCAACTGACCTCCTGTAAGACTGAATCAGGCACACTGACTGGTCACTGCAGGGCAGCCTATTTCATGTTGTCTTATCCTGACTGCTAACGAAATCCTATAGATCATTTTGCAATATGGTCACCAGGCTAGCAGGCTGCGCACCGCGATGCACTCTAGTACATATAAAAGTCAGGTGAAGACAATCGGCAGGAAACCACCAATCAATTAAGATCCATTTGGCATTAGTATTTCGCAAACAGTGGCTAACTTCATTTCCAGCTGAACATAATTTACTCTCACAAACAACGAATACTGAGTTTTTCAATTTCAAAAACAGAAATTGATATGATGAAGTGGAGATAAAAAACATATCATAACTGAACAAAACTAACTTGTGCGTGTTACAAAGTTATACTGTTTGGCAGTATCAACATTCTTTACCGAGAATGAGTCAGTTAGTTAGGTTTTCATCTTCTCCCTGAGTATGAGACCGTCATAAATATTTACAGTTGATATTAGTTTTACTTGTAAATTCTAGCTATGAGTGCAGATCGAGTATAATTTTCTCTTTGTGACCGAATTCTTCAGTAAACACTTCCTGTACCTATACCACTGATAGAAGATTTGCATTCCGACGGGCTTGAATGCAGAAATATTACGCATCATTATCAGTCGTTGTTACTGAGACTAAAAACATAGAGTGCTGGTAATCTGATCTCCATCTAAGCTCTGTAAAACTAACAACACGATGCTGGTGGATCCTAACAAGGAAGAAGAGTGTTCAAGCTACTACTTTGTGACTATCTTGATAGATTCTACGGCCTATCAACTTAAGTGGTTTGTTAAAAGGATTATTTTAAGCTCACATGGATAATGTGATGCCAAATATTTAGATAAACAACAAGAAAAGGAGTACTTATTATCCTGTTAAGGGTCATTCGTTGCCTTTCCGTCTTGAGTTTTCGTGCCTATCTCTTCCACTGCCAGATAAGGTAACATCTCTAGTACGTGAATTCTTACAAATAATGGTCTCAGTATCCACCAAGATATTTTGTTTGGTTTTAAGACCTATTGAATGCTTAATACAGTCTTATTTTGCAACATGCCTATCAATGCCCCAGGAATATATACATGCAGTAAGTATGGACTGTTTTCTCCACTTAATTTTACGCGAGCAAAAAGTTTCGTATGACAAATTATGAACTAGAGTCAAAAATATTTAGATTAATTTGGCATAAGTCTTCGCGGTTGAATGCAGACGCATAAAATCACGTCCACTGATTGTTGAGGAAGTTGTCTGATAACTTATGTTACTTAAAAAATTATGAGTAGCATAATATTTTTAGAGCAATAAATGATACAACTACCTCACCTGAACTGATAGTCGTGCATCTCCCATTCGTGGTCCGTGATCTGAGAACAGTACAACTAGTGTATTTGCAAATGGGTGTTTTGAAGGAATGAAATATCGCTGATCCTCACTATTAACCAACTGGTCTTCGTGATAGATTCTTTTTATAAGCTTTACTAAATCTTCATCTAACAACTTTCCATAAGCTGGATTTTCATGTATTAATTCACTCAGAAATGTTAAACTGAAACGTGGTCTATCAGAGTAAGTTGTAAAGAACTCAGTAAGTGATTCAAGAAGCAGTTGGTGTGTGTGCCTGTAGAAGAGAAAATGAAGAGACAAATATAATGTTCAGCAATAAGAATTATGCGATGACTTTCAACTATCGAAATAGTCAAATTAGGTCGTGAGAAATTAGCAATAGCAACTTCTGCACAATGGTACCAGCCAGTCTTGGATAACTTACCATTCAAATAAAATACTAATGTGACTTAGTAGCTGTAAAATATGACTTAGTATGGGTGATTTACTATGTGCAAACAAATTCTTAAAATCCACAGGAGTATGAACTTGAATCCCTAAAGAGGTCAATAGAAACATTACTATAGTATAGTATAGTATGGGATAGTGTGGTATAGTATGATATAGTATACTGTGATATAGTATCCCGATGGAATGATAATCAGCGTAAAAGTTACAGTTATCTTCCATTATTAAATGTAAGTACATCCTGTATGCTTGCTGAGTCGTTGGTTCACGTTTTTCTCCTCCTCTTTTCTGTTTCAGATGCTCATAATCATCACTAAACTCATTCTCCTGTACTCACCCCCCTGCAACAACGTACGTACCTACAGGCTAGATTAAAACCTATTAACAGTTGGTCGTTGTTAAATGGTGATGAGGATAGTAATTATGGCTTTTACTCCTCCTAATGCTAGAAGCAATGAAGTGATTTGAAGATGGTTAACCAAGAAAACTAGATCAAAGATTTCAAGCTGGTATTCATCATGAGCTCACATCAGTTGGAGAAACATTGGAAACCTGGAAGCAATCCTCAGCAGTACGCACCCGTTACCCTCCCTGCCACATCAGGCATCAAATCCATGACCTTCAGGTTCCGCACCCAGCACGTAACTATTGAGCCACTGGGTTGGAATCGAATGGTCCACATTTCCTTCTTTTACCAGGTCACAATATACCCCAGAGGTTTGTGATGATTTATTTGCTGGTTTCAAGTTGGTGTTCATCATGGATTGAGATCAGTTGGAGAACATGCAAACTGAGTTATGCTGCGTTGCTTCCAAAAGGTCCTGTAACCAGTTATTTGCAATGCATCAGTATTTCGGCACAGCCTATCAAATATGCTATTCCACCCGGCTAATCTATTGTGTTCTTTCTTGCTTTCACACTCGAACGAACAATTAGTGATTGGCCTCTGTGTTTGTAAAGTTCGCGTAAACTCAATTTCTAAAGTGTCAATACAAAAGCACTTACTGAGATATTTCTTTATTTTTACACTGTGAAATTAAATGATAGTTAAGAAGTGTATTTGATTTCAGTTATCCATAATTTTAAATATTTGCAAGTGTCATCCACTGAAGAATTTTGGTACGTTGATGTCAGCTTAAGTGACATATTGGACAGTGTGACAAAGACTTTCTCTTCATAATCAGCTGTAGTCACCATTACTTACTTAAAGGTGATTAGAGAGATAGCTCAGTATAGCAACAATAGTTCTTTTTGTGCTACAAGAACCTTGAATCACCTATCAGCAACCTTTATGGATGAACAATTGAAAAAAAGTAGAAAAAGAGTAACACAGACGATTATCTCAAAAAGACACCATTGAATTCTTTAGTGCTCAAGTGCTATTGTTCATAAAATCAATTATATACACTGAGCTAAACAGCAAGAGCAAATAAATGTAGTCAGAAGAGCTAGTAAGGGTTTAAATGAGTATATAGAATGTAAAAAGGGAAACAAAAGCTCAAAACGGAACTTAACGGATTATTCAGAAAAAAGTGATTAAAAGAGATTACCAAATCATATGTCTATATTTCAAAACCATGGTTTTTGATAGTGGAAATGATGTTATCAGGAAATGAACTAAACTTCAACGTACATAAAAGTAAATAATCTAGATTTTATCCAGATAACTAAAAGTGTCTATCAGTTACCCAACTCAGCATAAGGCCGAAACAGAACGAAGAAATTGCTACTCCATCAGCCAGAGTTCATATTTTAGCAACTATGAACACAGTTGTACTTCTTAATCAAACAGAAGAACTGTAACGCCAGAAAACAGTGTCTCAAAGACATACGATTGGAACATTCATAATGTCATGCAAACATTTTGATACCTCACAATAGCCTAAAAGGCACATTGGCAAAAAAGAATGTATTAATCGAGCAAGATCATAGGAAACAAATCACCAAAGATGGATGACATGTATTCATAAACTATGAGAATATATTCAGCACAACTGTTCAGTATTCAAACGTAAATAAAATGAAACCGTGAGTAAATCGTCTATCTCAAAGGGGACACCAGCATTAAAAATCTGCTTCTCAGCTACAGATATCCTCTATCTTATCAAAATAAGAGGTCGACTTGACATAGTTATAGACATTAAAATTAAATAACTCAAGGAAGACAAAAATGACATAACTAACCAAACGAAGATGACAAACTCGTAATATGTTCCTTAGAAATACAGTGCATTCATCGAGTTTGTGGACCAAGAAGTTAAGAAGAGTGCGTGCAAACACAAAGGACACTTCTACTATACACTGGCAAGTGAAGCAGAACAAGCTGCAGGTAGGCGAGAAAGAGACCTGACAACATTGTATCAAATAACCAGGTTACTATCTGGCAGGGAAGAAATCAACACAGATGAAACCAATTAAAGATGATGAAGGATATCTAATCACCAAAGAAGAGCAACGAAGGAAACAATGGACTGACCACTTCAAAAAGCTCTTGAATCAACCACCACCCACACTTCTTCCAGAAATACCACCTGCAGCCACAGAACTACCAGTGAACACAAGCCCTCCGACGAGAGTCGAAGTCCTGAGCTCCATAGAGTTGTTGAAAAGCGGGGAAGCAGCAGGACCAGATGGAATCTCACCAGAACCATTGAGAAGAGAGGCAGTGGCAACAACAGTGGACATGCTCACACCACCATTGCAAAAGGTGCGCAAGGAAGCAAGGAAAGGTACCTGACGATTGGAAGAAGGGATATTAAGCCACATCATCTTGGAGAGACTGAAGGATGCGCTGGATTCGAAACTACGACCGGAACAGGCAGGCTTCAGGAAGTACAAATCATGTGTGGATCAAATTGCAACGCTATGCTTCGTATCATCATAGAACATAGCATAGAATGGTGGTCAACTCAAAAAAACCTCAACTTCATCGACGTTGAAAAGGCTTTCAACAGCGCCGATAGACAAGTAATTTGGCAGGCAGTTGCTTCAACACTACGCGTTTAGTGCCACAAACATTTATCAATCTCATTCAACAACTATATGAAGATACCACATGCCGGCCAAGTAATTCACAATGGGAAGCTCAGTGATGTCTTTGAAGTGAAGTGAAGACAGGGAGGAGTAAGACAAGGCTGTCTGCTATCACCCATGATATTCCTGATTGTGGTCGACTCGACTGGATCATGCAACAAATAGTGAGGAGCGAGAAGAGGGGAAGGGGAATACTCTGGACAGCGGAAGAGATCCTAGAAGATTTAGATCTCGCTGATGACTTATGTTTAATGTCACACAAACCTGAAGATCTACAGGCGAAAACTAACAAGTTGACAGAAGAGACGAGGTGGGGCAGTGAAGACGGGACTTCAAGTGAACGTAGAGAAGACAGAGGTGATGAAGATACCCAACCAACACCACCACCAACAAAAAAAACAATGACAAGCTCCAATCATCATCAACGGGAGAAACTTAAAGGAAGTAGCCGTACTTTCCATTGGGAACGCAAGGGACAAATGAACAATAATACAATCAAGTTTCAGTTTGAAATGAGGAATATGATCAAAATCTTTTTAAATGAATGTACCTTATATAGTTCACACAGGAAATCTGCTGGTTTGTTAATTTCAATGTATTATGTGAAAAAGAAAGTCTGTCAATCTAGTCGAAATATACTTCTTTGTTTGTCTAAAATAATTACCGTGAACAAAATTACAGACTGTTGGTTTGATAAATTTCTGTTGTATGCTATGAACTACGTGGAAAATATTGTCTTACAGTTCGATTTTTTTTAATCTGCAGATATTTTACATATTTTAGTCTTCGGAAGAGGGCACTCAACTTCGCAATTGGTGTTACTGAGTTTTAGTACCCAGTGAGTAATCTTCTCCCCACCAGAGGTATTTGAAAAGCAACAATTCAACGACTGTTGTAGAAATTACCCAAAGGACTTCACATATCACACAGTAAATCTGACGTTCCAATAAGAGATTGAGAAATTTACAAATCTGTCTCCTAAATGGATATCTTTTTTACACAACAAAGCTACTTAAACTCACTGCTCCAGCCCAGAAAATTATTTTCCGTTGACAAAATTTGTCTGCCTGATGTATATTGTTGATTCATGACTTACTAGCCTATTTAGCTTTACCAGTCATAATCAATTGGAGTCATTCTACATTTTATCTGCTTTTATTAGTCATCCCACCTACAGTGTACAGAAATGAGCTGATCACCTACCTGAAATTGATATTGATGACAATTACCAATAGTGTAACAGTTGTGCGGGTTTATTCCTAAGACTAGTTGATGTGATTTCGAATCATCGAGAAGATATAGGTTCCTTCATGTTTGCATATAGGCCTCAGTGATGAGTTCCAACAGACATGAAACTTAAGTCCAGGACCTTTTGTTGACTAACCAAAATACAGATAACTGCAGTGTCACATGGCAAACATGATAGACAGGTTGTGGTTAGCGTTGAAAACTATAGACTTGACAGATACATTGGCCACACTTTAGAAAGCAATTCTTGAATATTCCTCATAGTCACGAAGCAAATCATTATCTTGAAGCTGTAAATTTTGAAACACAAATATTCAAGAAACATTGTTGATATCCAATCTATCTGTAGACGAATTGTAGAAATATCCTCCTTCTGTTTTCATTCTCTGCATATTCAGATTAAAGAATGGAGGTATAAAAATTGGATACTGTGGTAGAATGTAATTTCATATTAGATTTGATTTTTTTGACATAACACACAGTGACACAGTATTATTTACCTTATGAAATCTAAAGCACAAATTAATGCTCATAATCATATAAAATGTAATCACACTACTTTCAACATTTGAATTTTATAGTCCTGTCACCTCATATTCTTCTTTTTGATTGGTGGTAAAAATTTCCATATCTCTGTTATATGTTGCGTCATTACTTTTTCAAAAAATGCATCTTCAGATAAAGGGTGTAGCAATAGGATCCTCAGTATCGTCAATCGTGGCAGACATATTTATAGATATTTGAGAACACATGGTTTTACGGACGTTCAATCCTACTCCTAAGATGTGCTGGTGAAATGTTTACGACACCCATACCGTGCTGAAATCAGGATATATCGACGAATAGGGAATTAGAACATCCAGAAGAGGCACTACTAACTATTGATTATCCTATAGAATTTGTCGCGAAATCTGTAAGCACACACAGGAATCAAACTATTAATCGTAATGTTAATAGTGATTGCAAGGTTTCTGTTGAGTTATCACATACGGAGGGAACATCGCGGTATTTATGTTGCACTCTCAACAAGCCTAGAATTAAGGTAGTATTGAAACCTAAAGACTCAGAATAGCTTCGTTGGCTTAAAAATCTAACTGACCTGATTAAATAAAATAATTTGATCTACGAAATGCCATACAGTGATTATGAGGTCACATACATAGGTCAAACTAACCGATCAGGATCAATTAGACTACTACAGCATGGAAATTTACCTAAATGTAGAACGATAAACCCAATTGGAATCAATAAATAGGGTGCATGCATTAATATATAACCACACAATAGAGTTGGATAAAAACGACTGTACTTAAATGGAGTATAATTAAACGGAGTGGGAGATTGATTACTGAATCTTTGTTCATCGGATCAACACCTAACACATGTAGTAGAATTTCAGGTTGGTATTCATCATGGACTGACATCAATTGGGGAAAAGTTGGGAGCCTTGAAGCACTGGACAGCTGTTTTGTCTCAGTATGGGATTCCTCAGCAGTGCGCACCCACAACCCCACCCCACCAGGGATTGAACCCAGGACCTTCAAGTTCTACGGTCAGCACATTACCATTAAGGTACTAGGTCGGAATCTAATGGTTCATGTTCCCTAATTCTGTCAGTTAGTAGGCATAATGCATCTCTCATACCGGAGACGTGGAAAATTTTACTACCACTAAGAACAAAGTACACGAGGTGATAAGACTAGAAAGCGAAGCGTCGAAAGTTGTGGGGTTACCTTGATATGATTATGAGCGACAGTTTGCATTCGAAGTGTCATCAAGTAATGAATACAGTTTCATTTTGTGTTACATCAAATAAACGAATCTAATGCAGGAAGGAATGGTTAAGAAAATGATCGAACTGCGAAATCAATAGGCTCAGTATTTCAGAAAGTAATGTACATGTAACATTAGTTAAACGACTTTGGTTTCGGTGCATTCATAGTAAAGAATGCTCACTGACTACGTTTGCTAGTAGTAAGTTAATAATCATGAGTTGGTCCTACATTGTCTCACCTTGACATTGTACATCCAAGAACTTTTTCTGAATAACTCTCCTCTTGACTGGCTGCTAGTAAGCATGGACGTCCATAGCTTGTTGTTGGACTATTAAGCAATCCAAAACCACACAGTCTATGCTGAAATGTACCCCATTTCGGTGTATCTTCAATATAGTGTGTAGCATAACCTCCATATTCAGAATATTCTTTCCATATCCACGGATAACTGTCGAGAACTGTGTGATTATCATTCCCATTTGATTTTTTACCGCCCTTATTGAAACCAATATGTGATTTTCTTGACTCTGGTAATTCTGATTCCAATTGTCCAGTTAAAAGTCCAAGTAAATTGACTGTGGTTCCATCACCAATCACGTTGTAAATATTCATTATAGTAGCACTTTCGTTTATTTGTTGAAGAAACTTAACTGTTTTTGGAAAATAACGAAATGCTGACAGACGAGAAATTGAATCAATCCCTAAAAGTAGTACATTAAACATGAATTCATTTCGTCTGTATAGAGATGATGACCATTTAGGTTCAGTTTGGTCTATAATCTGCGGAGGATATGAACCACATACAAATAAACGTTCACTCTGATCAAATCTAGAATTACTCCAACTAGTGTCTGGTTCCAAAAGGAACACATTTTCCTTTGGTTGACACATTACCATAAACATTGGCCATTCAGATTGATAACCATCATAAATTTGTTCAACAGCATTCAAATAAATCGACTGATAATCATTCAACCGTTTTATTGGAAACAGTGAACATTGAATTGAACTAAGATTTAAGCCTATTTTCAAATCATTTGATATCACTAACTTGCCCCTGTGAAATGTCATCAATTCATGGATAGAAACCGTTTTATTTATCGCTAAAAACGGTTTGAATAGGTTGGTTCGCTTACATTGTGGAAAATTTACCTCATTTTCCTGTTTGATGTATTTTTGATTTGGCCATAAATCCATTTGTGGTACTGAACATTTACTAGTTTGGTAACTTTCGCGTTTAAATGTATCCAAATTGTCTTTGTTTAATTTCGGTAAACAGTTTAGATCGTTTAAGTATACAAAGCTACTTAGTAGGGTATATGCGCCAACACAGAACAAACACAGCATAATCCTCGTCTTCGTCAGACAATGAATTTTTCCCAACATTCCACGTGGTTTATTCCTATTGATAAACAAGAATGACAAGATTAATGATAAAAATAAAAATTGGTATTATGAATCCAATTTCTTTAGAAAAACGTTCTCTGTCATAATTATTCGAATTGGATTGGCTATCGATAGGCGATCGATAATAAAACTGGCATTTCCCTATGTTTCTGATTGGCCAATCGATTTTATCAGACAATTTTTATAGAAGAAACTACGATTCAACAAATCAGGTTAATTAATTCATAATAATTTGTGTATAGGATTTTGAATAAATTCACGTTTGACTAATCAAACAAGCTTTAATGGATTAGAAAGCTAGATGACCCATGTACTCGTGAATGACATTAGGCATATAAAGTCTTCAGATACCAGCTTTATATCTTTGTTCACGAAAAATCTCAATTCACTGAGGATAAACCGGAAATGTTTGGCATATCTAAAAGCCTCTTTGAAAATTATCACCAATAATCAGCCAAAGAAAAGCTGTTTCTCCTCATACCTCCAAAATTACTAAGGGTTATGCCCCAAAGACCTTATCAGAAAATGAGGGTGAAACAGTCATCTTTGCTTGGATCGCCTGACCTTCCTCGACATGAAAGATCTGTAACCCTTTAAAACTTCGAAGCCGTAATTACACACTTCAAAAAGTTAAGAAACTATCTGTTATCAAATTTATCATTACTCGCAGTTAACAATTATTTTCCATTTGAAAGGACTAGAGTTGTCAAGCAAATATTTGTGTACTTTAAGTGGAACGTTAACATTAATAAACCACAGTGGAGTAGATATTCAGGATCTATCTTTACTTCAGCTCATCAGGTATTTTACTGAAGGATAAGTGAAAATTTGCAAGGAATTCATTTTTCTGTTATCCTTCCTGTAGGTTCATAGTGGAACATACGGCTTCAATAGCACGCCTCCATTCCACTCTGTTCTCGGCAGTCTTCTGAACCTCGTTTCACAACTGCACAACAGCTTTCATCTCTTCCTCACACCATCTTCTCCATATCAACCTCAGCTGGGGCACCCTCACACAACTCGTCGTTTCCCATACCGGTTCCACTAGACGGCCTGACCCGGCCTGGCATGGTCTGGCCTGATGCGTCATGTCCCCAATCCATCTTCTCACTCTATCACCAATACAATCCATCTACACTTTCTTCCACTGCACATTTGTTGGGCAACGGGTTGTTGGTTGGTTCGTTGACAGACAGAGTGAGTTGCTTGTTGCTTATTCTTATTATTATTCTGGCCAGTTGATCTTCAGTGTCAGTATCGAGTTAGTGTAGGTGGCAGCTGTTGATCACGTATGTCTGTGGCTTGTTGGAAGTGTTTTTCATGACGTGTCAAGTCTGTGAACCGTATAGCAGCACTGACTTGACTTAAGTGTCAAAAATTCGGATCTTGTTCTTTATGCTGAGTGGAGTGCAGTAGATCTATACGCTTATTTCGGGTTAATTAAAGCCTATCTTGCTTCCCCGATCCTGGTTTTGACGTCCTCATCTGGGCCACCTGTAGTTGAAACTATGCTGCCTAGGCAGGTAGGTGAAAGAGACCACTTCATTCACGTTTCTCACAGTTCATGGTGATTCATGCTTGTTGTTTTCGCTGCTGTTGTTGATGGTCACACATCGTCATCACCTACACATTCTCTACATTCACTTGAAGTCCCATTTTCGCTGCCACACATCAGCTCCCCCATCAATTTGTTGGTTTTCACCTGTAGATCTTCGAGTTTGTGCAACAACACATTAGACATACATCATCATCGTTGGCGAAATACAAATCTTCTCCTGGAGACTTTCATCACTCCAGTCAACATATGCTCATCTTCTCACTCCTCACAAATGTCTGTTGCATGATCTGGTCCAGTCGACCACAATCAGGAAGATGATGGTTGATAGTAGATGGCAACCTTGTCTTACTCTTCTCCCCTGTCTTCACTTCGCTTCAAAGGCGTCTGTGTGTACCCACTACCCTCTTCTAATCGAACCCACAACCTCCGGATTTTGCGTAGAGCATTATACTCGCATATATTTACCTTCAATATCTTCTTTTTAACCCTGTCTTCATTTAAGAGAAAGAATTGATTTATACCTTAGTGCACATAAATGTAACTCTATATAGGATTTGAAAATTATTGTTGAGTTTTATTTCATTTTAAAAAATATTGATGTATCACAAGATGATGCAAAACTCTGTACTGGTTGGTATTTTGAGCACAGTTCTCTTCCCACATTCATACCTTTTTTGTCATAAAACTTTCTTTTTTGAGCTTTCCATTTCTTAAATCGTTAATTTTTTCCACTCAGTCATAGATAAAAACGGTTACAAGGAAGATAGTTATGCTTTTGACGAACATTTTTCCATAGCTTAATACCTGAAAACTGATAATTTCCAGGATAGAAAGTTTCATAAGAATTTCTGGTAGAACAGAAACCCCAGTAGAACAGTTCAAGTAGGACTTTTTAAAAGCAACGACAGAACATGTCATAGCACAAGAAAGGGTAGAAATAACTTCGGGAGGCTGACAAAAGAAGTAAGCTAATTTAGTAATGAAACGGACTAACTTCTAGGGACATATCTTTGGAAAAAATGCAGTGTGAGAATGAAAACTGAAGTACAAATGCATTGTAGAAGTGTTAAACCTATAGAAGAAGAAAGCAACTTTACATATTCATCATCCACAATGCTGAAGCTCCTTCCTGTGAACAGCCAACACTTCACCTCAAGAAATAGGTCTTGTCATCACTTCGCTTCAATGACCTAGTTACACCTTGTCATGAGAAAAATGTTCTGAACTCATTAAATTCATTGGTCAACTGACAACATAACTCAAAGTATTTTTTTCCATCCTTCAATAGTCAAGCTCACTGGCGTTCACGAGTACTTTGATAGATAACTGCATAGTACGGGCAATGTAAAAATTTCCTATGGAGTAAGTATACTTTTAGGTATAATCTCATAAAGTGTAAAGCGTTAAATATCCTGTTAGAACTAAATAATTGTTTTGACACTTGTAGCAAGGAATATATTTCTAGGAAAACTCGACGAAAGCTGGTTCATAAAAATGTGTAGGAGGTGAACGTTGAATGTAATTTCACCGAGAAGATATCTAACACCTGTGATATGATATAAAAAGTCATATCGTCACTAAAATTAAAGAATGAGAGGCAATAGAACTATAAAAACTCAAGTCAGAAGGACCATCCTATTCCATGACAGACTCATATGCTTGATCAAATCACCAAAGTAAAATATGTTATTCAGACTGTTTTTCGAAATTGCATTCTTCAATGGTTTAAGTAGCTTGGCTAGTTATTTTGCAATTAAGTGGTAATGGTAATTAGTTATATCCAGTGTCGGGCGAAGGAAAACAGAGATGAACGTACGTGATGGGCGAAGTTTTTCACAGAGTTCAGTGCTTCACACAAAAATTATACCTTTATCGTTTTTGACGCGAATACAAACCTCGAAAGTGAAACAAGTTTAAAGCAGGCTCAGGTGAACGTTTAAAAAGCCTGCGCTTAATTAGTGTCATTGTCTGTAACTCCATATTTCATTATTTTTTAAAGTACCTGGAACTGATGAAACACATTGTCTATTCTCCAGTTTAATGCAAAACTGTACCATTTTTATTCTGGTACATATGATGCTGTGATATTGAAATATTTCCACAAAGTAAAATGAGTGCTAACAGGTTATTTACATAAGTTTATGCAGCCACTGATCAAAATATTACTAAATGTTCTTAAATCCTAAGAGTATTGATTGGTTACTAAAGTGCATTGCTTAGCCAACTTGAGGATGAAATCTCTTATTTTCACTTGTCACCGAAATGAGGTGTTTTGGACTATACTTATTTTAATGACGATGTACTGTCAATAAATTCTCACCAAACTTTTTATTTATACGTCAAACAGTATTATAATAGAATAGCCAGTGTAAAAAATAAAGAAAATTATAGTTGAGACGGCAAATAAAATAAGTAGATGCAATCCAAACAACAAGTTATGTTCACTTAAATAACCATTGTTTTTAAGTATCTAGTTAGAATCTTAAAAATTGTTGAAAATGAGATGCACGAAGATAATATCAAGCCACTAATATATTTCCATGAATATTGGCTGGAACGCACTTTTTCATATCACTTCAATCGCCTCCAGACTATTATTCCTAGGTTTATTTCTCAGGTTACCTGCTGAAGTAGGAACTTAGCCCCGTTGCACACTTGATGATTACCCTTTGATGACAGCCAGTGAGGCAGACGCTGAACAACTTCGAGAAACTAGTCTCTTAAATGTATATTTCACTGCATATCATAGCTGAAGTAGTCTAGAAGGGATATCAACCAGTTTTCATTGAAGTACTGACATTTCCTGACGTTTGGTACTAAATTTTATATTCAAATTACAATTCTTGAAGCAATGATCAGTTGTTATAGTGACTGCTGATCATGACTGCTTGAGTTCCGCTGATCATCTTCAACTTTGCGCTTAGAAATCAAAGTATTCTAAAGAATCCAATAAAATTAGGAACCAACCAAAATTTAAAGTTTTAGGAACTCAAGACGAATTTTTAGTGAACATTACAGCTTACCAATGTCTCAGTTCAGCTAAGAAACATTTCCGTTGACTAGTAATGTGACCCACTTCCTTGAGTCCTTAAGTCTCCGAGAGGGAGACATATCGATTGTCTCTATAGTCAGTGAACACAGATTCTTGAAACTACTCACAGGCTATCCTCGTTCATCTAATGGTGCTTATAGTCAGTATTCTCAATTCGGATGAACGTCATTTGGAGGTAATTCGTTAAAGTCTGCATATCTGACTCCCATGTGAGCGACATTCACCTCCAAAGCGTATTTGCGATTACAAGTGGTCACTCCGTGACTCAAATCTATATCAGAGACTTCAGCAGTGAACGATTCAAGCAACAAATAAATCTCTCCGGGTATGGGTTATCTCGACAAATCGTTTATCCCGGACTACTTTTTCTAACTGTGGAATATTCAATGATTAGCTATGCACGAGGTCTGCCGATCAAATTCGCAATGTGGTCACCAAGATGAGTGAAATGATACTGCAACA